ACTTGAGTAGGAGTTACAAAAGTTGAGAAGCCATTTCCAACTGAGCATGAAACTACAAAGACCTTACAGTAACAGCACTGTTAGAGCTCTGAACTTAAATGTTGGGTTGAAATGCACAACTCATTCACACAGGGAAAACAAACTCTTTGGTAAAGCTTTGGTGTTATGAAGCTACAGCAAAGTTTTAGGTTTCGAAACAAGTGATTTCTAAATTCACTCTCACAATACAAAGGCACATTAGACAGCAAAAAAATCTGGATACACTACAAGTTTTTTTCATGTGCTCCTACTTTTGTACCATATGAAGGAGAGATTTAGGGTCCAATCTAGACAAAAAAGAGGATGTTTGATAGACGCTTTCACCTGGAAGGAGATAAGCTTAAGGTACCTCAAAGGTACCTCATAAAAATTAGCAGGTTTTCTCAACAAAGGAGGTCTGTCTGAGCTGTGTCAGCCCCAGCCTGCTTCTCTGACTGGACCAGTCAAGATTAGGCCAGGTAGAATCTTGCTCCACAAAATTTCAGATAGTTCCTGATGTGCAGCTACTTACGGGTTTTGCAATAGTGAGATTCCTCATGAGCACAGAAACACTGAGACAGTACAATCCTGCTATCCCAGTAGCATGAAAAGGCACAACCTGTTCAGGTCTAGGAATAAAATACGCAGATTCAGGGATCCTATGTATTCCTCATCTCTTCAAGGAGACTAAAGCTGCCCAAAAACTCAAAGCTTTGTTTTTAAAACAGAATCATGCATCTTTGGGTGCAGTTCAGGACATGAACTTCAGCTTAACTGATTCTATTCAACTAAAGGAATGGTTGAAATAGCAGGACACACATCCTGGAAAGGACAGGGCTGGAACCAGGGAAATAACTTCACTGATGATTAAAGCTTGAGCCTTTGGGCAAAACAAGTGACCTTTGTCCTTTGGAATCCAAACAAAAAAATAAACCTTGCTTCCCATTAGTGACATGTAACAAATAAACTAAATAATAATAATGACCCTCTGTAATTCCCCCCCCCCCCCCCCCCAATTATTTCCAGCTTATCCTTGTATAAAGAAAATAGTGGTTGGCAAAGAGGGCTGACCTGAGAATGAAACACTACTTTCTTCCTGTGTTCCTTTAAAACTGATTTAGGTCTCTTCTAAGCAGCTGAGACTCAGCGCAGTTGTGATTAAGAGCAAGTGTAAGAAATGAGTCATATCACCATTTCCTCACTGATTGACTCTGAGTAGCCCACTTACTCGACCAGCCTAACACATTATTATTATTAACAGGGCTGACAGGGACAAGTGTTCAACCCTGTTAGGATTTGCCATGTTTATGCTGATAAAATCCCTCCAGCTATGTCTAGGACTTGGAATTTCTTGGTTCTTGACAGTAGTGCTGTCAGCCCAAGCACTCCTGATCACCAGCTTAAGCAATGGCCATAATCAGTATCCTGGAGCAATCTGGAGAGTCAGGAGTCAGCCAAGGAGCAGGGGACTATTTGGTCTAAATACACTCTGTCAAGTTCATCTCAGTCTATGTGGGAAGCCACAAAGGTCTTTCAGACTCAAGGCTGTGACAGAGGCATCTGTTCTTGCTGCCTTCCACCACAAATATCCCCAGAAAGCGCATCCCTGCCCTACATTTAGCCATTGAACAGTGCTGAGAGATGACACAGAGCCCTGAATATACAAGACAGCACTGAAATACCACTTATCCCAGCCTAAGCATTGAAGAAGCAAGGGTAGAAGAGACACCATGCAGACACCATGCACCTGATTTACTCCCCAACACAATGCATCACCTTAAGTCCTGAGCCATAGAGAAAATAGAACGGCTATAGCACTCTCACCTGAAAGAAGGTGTGCTACCAGAGCAAGGTGAGCAGACATTAAAACACCTTTCATTAGCCAGAACAAAAAAACCCAGCAAACCTGCCATGCCACTCCAGCGGTTAAGTCTTCACTATTTCGAATCAACATGACAAAACTGAACTTACGGGCACTTCTTTAAAGGCTTCAAATCGTGCCATAGGGAAAATGGTGAAAGGGTGGTCAAATCACACAGGACAGATGCACTTGCCCGTGACACAGTCAGATTAAATGAGGCTACTGCACATTAATGGTGCTTGACAAGAAGCAAAGGAAATTGTTCAAGCAGTTCCAACAGGAGCTCAGTTAATTATTAATAGAGACTTGTTATGGCTGACATCTACTGTATTAGAGGAAATCCCCATTGCTCTAGTGTGTGGGTGAGATTCATTTTTCATTAAATGAGCCAATCGGGCCAATAAACTTTGGCAGCTTTTCTTAGTGGATTATAAACTTGGAGAAAATTAAGAGTCAGATGTCAGAAGAGAAATAGTCTGAACTACTGACCCTATGACAAAAAGTCTAGACTTTCATTGTCTTCAGTGTTTAAAGTTTATTAAGCCAATTAATGTAATCCAACGGCTAAAAAAGAATAAGGGACCAGTCTTTGAATATGTCTGTAAGAGTTCTGAGTATCTCCTTTTGCATTCTTTTCTTTCTCCTGCTTTGGGATTTGGAAAGAGGGGGGACTGGCTTACAGGCTAGCAAGTGTATTTTTCTTCAGCTTTTTCTCCATTCCCATGAGCTTATTTGGAACCAGGCTGAAGATAAGAATATTTTATTCAGAAACAAAAGGTTGAATTTGTCAGACTGATTTCTGGCATGGCAACAAGTGTCAGTCACAAGTATTCAGACCTTGTTTTTACAAAAATCTCTAAGGATTCAAAAATTTTCATGCATTTAACATGGGAAACTATTCAGAAGAAGATCTGCAGCTAGAAGACACTATGTTTTATTCTCCTCTCTACAGTTCTTCATGACTCCCATGATAAAAGAGTAACACAGGAAGTGAGGAACAAGGAACAAGGAGTGAGAGGCCACCACAGGTGATTAATGGTTACTTATCAATGAAAGCAGGAATACCCAGCCGTAAAGCCTTTGGCAGCAATATGTACAGACACATCCAGAGAACAAGGAGGTGGGATCATGAAAAGTATGCTAAATTGAAAAGGAGTTAAAAGGACACAGAGTTCATAACCAATGTCTGAATGAGCTTCACCCATTCCTGGACCAAGTACCACCACATGGTCAGATATTTGCAGACAGGTGACCAAGTTTCCAAGTGCTCTCCCCACAAAACCACAGAAAAGGGCTCCAAGATCCATTCTGGAGATGGTGTCTCTGTCTCACAATCGCAGCCAAGAGTGTAAACCAGACCACACCTAGAGAGAGCAGATTTCTGATTTAGAATAAGGTTTTGCTTTACAGCTACCCAAAAGCTAACTAAGTTACAAATATAACCGAGGGCTTAGTTAGCGAGGAACAGCTTCCCAGGGGGTTAAATGTGAGGCAAACATTTTCCATCAGCTGCTCCTGTGAATGCTTACTCCTCTGAGGGGATGAACTTCTTTCTTTTTCAAAATGCCATGTTCAGCTTCTGAAGTCAAACTTTAAGACTTTAATGCAACCTGTGAACTGGGCATGCACCCCCACGTATGCATACAGGGCACATACAGCCTTGTCTTGGAGAAATATGCAGTCCTTGTTCCATGCTGTCTTTTCCAAGTACCATCCTTCAGTTTTTCCTCAAGGCTAGGATAACTACACATTTGGAGTTTCCTAATGCTGACATTAGCCTGAGGCAGGTGGCAGGCTTATGTTCACTGCTTAGATTTGTGACCCTAAATATTTCTTTTAATTTAATTACACATGTAATCCCTAAACATTGTACCTACAAGCAGTTCAGCTTCCCAGAACCTGGAAGTCTGGGGGAAGGAGGATCCAGAAGCAAGTTTTGTTAAGTCACAGTCGGAAACAACTCTGAAATAAATAGGTTTTTCCTCAAATGCTGGAGCTGTGACTGATTTTTGAACACCACAAATATTAGCATGTTGCCTACTAGTTCCAATTAGTTTCTCATTACACAGTGTAACATATAGAATATTATCCAAGAGGCAAATTTGTCCATTAACATGAATTTGATGAGACCAGAGAGAATATGTCTGTATGAGCTGTTAAACTGACTTGAGAGTGATTGATCTTCTTCATTTGGTTTTATTCCCAGTGTTCAATGTTGCTTGGTTTGGGGTTTGGAATTTAATAAGATTTGCATCTAGAATATTAGAGCTGAAAGCTTTCATCTCATCTGGATTTCCTGGGATCAGTTTGAGAATTTTAAATAAAAGACAAGGTGGGGGAGGAGGGCAAGAAAGACCCTAGACATCTAATGCTAGAGCTATACTGTTTTGAAGGATACTGAGAAAGATGTGTGGAAGTCAAGAGTGCATACAGATACAGTACCTGCTGAAACAATACCTTGTCCAGGTCCATGGACTCTCTTAAGAGTATGGATGTATGAACTAAATGAAACAGATAATTTCATATTTTTAAACGGAAAGAAAACTTCCACAGGAATTAAATACAAGTAAGTTTCTACTTCCATTACGTAAGTTGCCTATGGGAATTAAATAAAGAGTATGTGCAATCAGGGGCTGAGTCACATGATCAAGTTATTGCGTTCAGCTGGGCCAGCAATTGATGGATGCTCAGTCCTAGTCCTAGGTCACTGCACACTCATAGGACTGTTAGAAATGCCAGTAAGTCCCTGAATCACAAGTGGTGGGAGCCTGGGAGAAGGAATGTGGAGATGCTTCTGTAGAACTCTTCTAGTCCTGCAGGCGCTGGATAGCCAGGGCTGCCTGACCTGTATAGTTCCATGCACACTGGTCAGCACATGTCGATAGCATGACTGAGGTGCTCAGCAGCATGGAGGGTGTGGACGAGATGAGACCCCAGAAGGAGCTGCCTGCAAGACTGGGCCTCCACTGGACACCTTCCTGCGTGCCTGCGTGCCCACATCTGCCCAGTCAGAGCCCCCCAGTTTTACCCATGGCCACATCCTATGCCAGATTCTCTGTGAGGATCCTTGCTGGGATGGAGGTGGGAACAGCTTAGTCCCCTTGCTACACATCAGCAACACCTGCTTCTCCTCTGGGATGCCGGCTAGGTGATGCAGCCCTCGCTATGACAAGGACCTGCCACGCCTGCTCCCATCCTGGTGCCACGCTCGCACCTCCGCACGGCTGCCCCTGCGGCGCCGGCCATCAGGAGGGGTTGTGCTCTGGGAAAAGCGTCCAGCCAGGCCGAGGAGACCCAGCCCCGGGTCAGCCGCTGACGGAGGGGCTCGGTCAGGCCCCGCTCACCCTCTGCGGCCGCCTCGGCCCCGCCGCCGTCACCAGGCAACCGCGCCACAGGGATGCGCTGTTGCCGTGGTGACCGCAGCGGCCCCGCGGTGCAGTCGGGAAGGGTCACAGCGGAGAGCTGGTCCAAGTCACTACTGCTCTTGCTGACATCGTGCCAACACGGCTATGGCAGTGGTTGCCTTCGGCTCCCTCTCCTTTCCCCACTCGCTGGTTCCCAAGCAGCCTGCTGAGCCTGCTCCAAGGCCTGGTCCCCTCCTTCCCCTCTCCCTCCATACAAAGCAAGGGTCCCCACAGGCTCCTCCAGTCTTTCCTCTGCAAGTGTGATACCCTAGGAGCAGCACCCATGGGGCTGGGCCCTCGGTGACCAAGTGTCCTACCACCAAGAAGCATTCCCCACCTACCTCTGGGGCCATTGCACATGTTTGAGCTTCATCCTTTATGCTCTGCTCATGCCAAGCAGAAGGCGAGGAAGGGAAAGCGCTATCTGCTGCATGGAACAGCTTTTGCAAATAAATACAGAAAATAGCTCTTGAATAGTGCTTTCCACCAGACAGTCTTTTGCAGATGGCAAAGGTGAAGCAAAACATAGAGTGACTTACAGAATTCACTGAAGAGATTGGCAACAGCTTAGAAATGTGTTCTCAAACCCAGTTTTCATATCTATAGAGATAGCAATCAAGTACTTAGAAGATTCTGAATGGTAAGTGAGAGGATAACATCTTTTTTTTGGAAAGAAAAACTTTTTTTTTCCTTACCTGTGCTGCCCTTCATAAAGTTGCGCTGGGAAAGATCAGTGAATTCTTTCCTGCTGTTTCTTTAAAAAAGTTTGAATGCACACAGATATTGTTTGATTTTTTTTTTCCCCTCTTCACATGGTACTGTTCAGTCGACTGAAAAGAGCAAAGCCTTCGTCAATACACTCAGGGTTTGAGCAGTAATAGATTTTATTTGAAATTAAGTATTATCATCTTCAATGCTGAGGTGCATGGTTGTTTATCTATCTGTTGTCTGCAGGAGCCTACTTTTATGTAGTGTAACTTTTATATTGGTTGTTTGAGTTTCTCTTTCTGCTTTTTATCGCCTCCTCTCAAGCAAAGCAAATGCTTTCAAGACAGCATCTTGCATAAACTGTGTTCAGGTAGCATCATGGAAGGTGAGGAAGGATTTTGTTGTTGTTGCATCATTCACAGGTCACTACTGACATACTCTGTATAATTTATCATAACTGTAGCACACCTGTTGCAAGTCATACCGTGACAACAGTCATGTCATGTCCCTGCGGGTCATTTGTCTTCCAGTACCAATAACAAAAGGTGCTTTGAGAAATGTATCCTGCAAATCCTTTACCCTTGACCACTGATATTACACTTTTATGGACAACTGATGTGACATTTCCATCTGTGCTTGCAGTATCCCTACTTAGCCTCTCTTATCCCCAGTAGCATTAGCTCTGATAGACATGGACATGAAAAGAGGTTGTGCTCAGGAGTTAATGGAGTTTCTTGCTAGAGATGCTTTCAAAAGAGGGGATACAGAGGAAGAAGAGAGAGAAATCACTCTGCAAGGGCTGAGCACCCACAGAGCAAAGGATACAAGACACGTGTCTCTTTGGCAATCTCAGTCAGTGTCTGTGCAGTCCAGCTTACACAGCTGCGCCCCATTTAGAATTCTAAAAGCACTTTTTTTTTTTTCCTGGGTTGGTTGGGCTGGTTGTTTTACTTTCAGATCACTCAACAAACAGGAAATAAAGAGGACATCAAACAAAACAGCAAACAGAGCTCCACACATTACTCCACTCAGCTGGGAAGCTCAGTGAGAGTCTCTTTGAGGGGTGGGAGTTCCAGAGGTTGTGCATCCCTAGCCATGACCTGCTTTCTTCCCAGCCCTTCCCTTTTATTCTATGACTATGAAGGGACTTTTTATTTAACCAGCATGGGGAATCCTTCATTTCAACTGCCCAAAAGCCAGGCCAGTACTTAATTTAAAACATAAATTGAAAGAAGAGAGAGTGAGAGAATTAATTAAAGGAATATCTGCATTTTCTTCATGGAGGGCATGTTCCTTTGTTTATTTACCCAGAGAATTATTTGACTGCTAGAGAGCAGAACCCTAAATGACAACTCAAGACTGACCAGCCTTGCTGCAATCACAAATCACCTTTTTGAAAATGAGGTGTGTCATTACCATCTCATGTCACCACAGGCAAAACTGTCCCTTCTATCTGCACCACATTCCGGTGTCCACATAACATGTATGAACCTCCTACTAAAATGAATGGGAATCCAGCCCACAGAAGAACATGAAAACTGGAGGATTAAATACTCTCTTTTACAGAGATTTCTTCTGATTTTTATTCCTATAGAGAGATACGTAGGAATTGTACTTATAGAGTGGCAAGAATACTTTGCTTTTTGCAAAATGAATGTTGCTGTTCCCTCTCTTTGTACTAGCTGCATGGCTAGTGAAGCAGAAATACTCTGTGGGGCTCTTGCTAAGCACTAGGGTTTGCACTGAGGGCTTTGCTTAGCTGAAGCAGCCAGAAGGATTGTGCTACCATTGCATTTAACTGAGATTTGTAGGAGCCCAAACCAACTGCTGATGGTCTGAACTCAAGATGGAGATCAGGCTTAAGGATCGCTTTTCATCTTTGGCTACTGCTGAAAGGATATTTCTCACACAGACACCAGAAATCCACACAAGTAACTCATGTTTCCTCTGCGCCTCTCCCACTCCCCCAGCTTCATATGGGCTCCATCCTAGCAGTATGGTTCAGCCAGACTTCGAATCCACCAAAGAGGAACAGGCTGTACTCACACAACTCCAGACCAACCAGAAGCGTGATGTGTTGGAAACATCACAAAAAAAATCTGTTCCCAGATCTCAGCAGTCTCACAGGTTCCTATTGCTCAGGTAGGTTTCAGACAGACAGTATGCAGTGTGTCAGTGAAAGAAGGTGGTACAAATCCTCCTCATCTGCTGCACCTTTAGCAGCCAAGCAACTCTCTACCCCATGGTACTACTGAAGCCCACACTAAGCGCAAGTGCTTTCCCCTTTCCCTGGTCTAAAACTGATGCCGGAGCGCAAGTACATTTGCTAAAGCAAGGAAAAGCAGATTGCATGGAAATATATTCTGTGCTTTTCAAACTCCAGTTACCACACCTTTTTGAGCTAGCTTTAAACTGCAGGTTAATATAGCAATTAAATAAGACATCACTATTACAAGTGCACCATTCTGACCTATTAAATTAGCACATCTATACCAAATTTCATTACTCAGTCATAGATATCTATTATTTTTTAAACACATAACATAATTCATCGTGGCAGGAATGACTTTATATTCCTCATCATCAGAGCTAAAGGCAAAGCAGAATGTGACGGCAGACTTTAACCACCTCTTCTGCCTGAACCTGCACCATAGCATTTAGAGCCAGAATTTCTGACAAGCTTTTCTAAACCTGTGACCAGCAAATATATCAACAGCACTTCATTGAAGAGATCTGGGAACAGGGGCCAAATGTGAGCCCAGAGTAAATACAGCAGAGCATCACAGCAGACAGGCAACAGAGAGTGTTCGTAGCCTTACCTATGCTTACTAGCAACAATAGAAAACTTCAAGGATGCCATTAGAAGGTTTGGTACACCCCAGGCTGCAAAGCTGGTGCTTCCTTAGACATGCTCAGCTCTCACTTTTCTAGGCTCACACCGACTTTACAATCCAGTTTATTATGAAGGTGGGTAAGCCACCCAGGTGTGAGCAAAAGCAGACTTCGTCTCACCGTATAAGAGGTATAACCTCTGTAGCACAAGAGCATGACAAAGATTTCTGAAAAGGCTTTGATATGCTGCTCCATCCTCATGGCAACCTGACTGAAGCAGACAGTCTTGCCTTGCAATCATTATGTGCTCCAGGCAACTTACCAGTGACAGAGCTTCGTTACATTTGCAACATGTTTGAGAGATTCTGCAGCACTCAGACTAGTAATGAACGGAATCAGGAGCAGAACAATAATAAAAGAGAAAGACATTCCCATTTATTGTGTGTTCTAGGCTTAATGAGCCATGACAGGTGTACAGAAAGCATTGAAGTTGGAGATCGCAAAACAGCACTGATCTTCCCCAGCAAATTATACGTAATACTTAATGGGCTAAAGATCTATAACCTAAACTCACAGTTCTATACCATTATGAATAATTTTTCACAATGATTTGACTAAGCACTTAAACCGGTCATCAGCATATACAATGGACAAAATTACATTATACCACAGTATTCCATGCATGTGAAAGGTATTTGCATTAAGTGTAGTTAAACCTGAACTCTGAGCTCTATTTTCTCACCATATTTTAGGTTTGAATATGATGAAGATTTCTTCATGTGAGAAACTCGCTTGAAATCAATGGAGTTACTTGCAGGTGAAAAAGTCATTACAGAAGGATGCTTAATCCATTCAAGCACTATTGACTGCGGGACTGCAGTGCATACACTGTGAATGTTCCCACCTTCACCATTTTCCATTCATAGGTTCAATGTCGAGAGGGACAATGACAAGAATTTAAATGAAACTAAGGCAAACTCTCCAGTATGAGACTTCGCTGGTATAGATACACTAATTAGATATAACTGACATTGCTTTGGCAGTGAAAGCTCAAGAATTTCAAAGTCCTTTTACTGGTCTGGCTTATTTCACTCAACAGATCTGATAAACTTTATTAGCAAATGCACTTTTCCTTCAGTAAAAGATGATTCTACACCAGGACTGTTTTGTTAACATAGCTATGCTGGCAAATCTCTTAAGCAGAGGCTGGTCCAACAGAACTGTGGATGAAAGCTAAAGTTCAGATCCATAAATTAGAAGCCCCCAGTTAACAGCTGAGACCTAGTAGCTGCCTGTAAGCATGCTTTTTACTTGCAGCAAAAGCAACTTGGGACAATACTTTTAATGTTTTTACTGTAGCTTAAATTGGCTTGTATTTGCTGTGAACTAAGAAAATGTTCCCAGGCAACTTACTGCAGTTTTTATGACACATGGTAAGTTG